TGCAACCGGTTTCACTTATCACTTTTTGGTGGACAGAAAGACAATTTTGTCATGAAATCCTCTTGGAATATGTGAATGTGCTCCTCAAACACAATGTATCCTTAAGTGTCAAAAAAAACTCAAAAAAAATATATCCTAAAGAATAATGCACTCTAGATTCATCAGCCTATACTACCAAACATAAATAAAATGATTTTGAGTTAGACCAACTCTTATGAAAACCAAATTTGGTGTATTTTCCATCCCTAACAATGAACCATCCCACCAAATTTAGTGAATGTAAATAGTATTACCCCAAATTAGGTTTATTACTATTCATTACACTAAATATTTTAAATATATATATTTTATTATATTTCCTTTAAATGATTAATTAGTTCAAACTTGTAATTAAATATAACTATATTGTAATTTATACATATTTTGAATACAACTAATATTTTATATAAAATAAATACATATCATAATATTGTTACAAAAATATAAATGTAAGTAAATCTTATGAGCATAAAATTACAAACTTTAACTAACATAATAATTAAGTGTCATAAAATAATAATTTATCAGTCACAAATAATTAATATAACAATTATTAAAACTGAACATATCAAATAATACATAATCTTAATTTTGGTGTAAATTGGTGTTACTATTGGAGATGACAAAAGAAATATGACATCAAAACAACAAATCCGGTTTCATAGTTTGAAAGCCCTTAGAAGTTAGAACTTAGATCAATTTACTTATATGGATTTCATTTGTTATTCGTTCTGATTCAATCCGAAAAATCCAGATATACATAAAGCTTCAGATCAAAGAAAATAGAAAAATGTGATATCCGCATAAATGAAGCAAATTACAAATATTACTTTTTAGAAAGTTGAATATTTGATTCAGTTTGTATATTTATAGATATGTAATGCAATTGTCTATTCAAACCATTAAATCTATACATATTGTATGATTTAATTTGCTTCATTTTTTTATTTTAAGTTTTTTTTCAAAAATATTTTTGGGCTATTGCGTATCCAATTTAATTTTATGTTCAGTCAAATTTTAAGATATGAGTTTCCTTATAATGCTTGTTAATATTATTTTTTTTTCAGTGAAATTTATGAAGTTTTAATATCTACTATTGCTTTTATTTTTATTTTTATTTTATTTAAATTTAACATTATGAAGGTTTTTAGTTAATTTTAGTGTTATATAATATTATTTATTTTTATATAATTGATGGATCAAATTGAATAATCGACGAATATTTAAAAAACTATGCATATCGGACTTCTAAATATAAAGAATTGTCTGGATCAAAATGAATCATAAACATAAATATTTGTTTAGTACAGAGTGAATCTTGGATATTCTGAATTTTTCAGGTTATCCGCTCTGTCGAACCTTACTTAAAAAAAAATTTATCTCTCAGTTTCTCATTTTGGGGTTCTTAGCATTAAATTTTTGTTACTTTAATGCAATTCAAATAATTACTAAATTTTTCTTTTTCTTTTTAAGAGGATCATTCATATAATGCACATGGATATATAATTTTTCATGAGGTTCTAACATCATAAATTTTGGGAACTTATTCTTAACCTTTCTCTCTTACTTTTTTAATTTTTTTAATTTGTATTTGTTAAATATCATATGAAATGCTTTTAGATTTACCAAGGATCTCCTACTATACCACATTACAATTTAACTGTGATTTGTATAAGAAAAATTTCATATGATATCTAACTGTGATTTGTTATATATCATATGGGACAAGCGGACTAGCTACTGCAGTGCAATCTAACTATTATTTGTATAAGAAAAATACATACTACGAAATAACTGCGATTCATCTAAAATAAACGGTTCAGAATAAAATATGAATGGTAACATTTATAATGAATAATGTAACTGAGATACATATAGTATATTTATATTGTTATTTTTAACGTGTCATAGATTTTAATTATTTTTTCATATTTATAAAAATGTGCTACAATTTTTAAAATATTTTATTATCAGTAAAAAATAAATATAAATAGAGAACCGCAGTTAAAACACATCTTTCTTATGTTCTTATTTCAAACGGTTTTCCATTAATTTTCCTTTGTAGTAAACCGCTCTCATGGCATTGTAATTTATACTGTATAACTTTTAACTCACATATATCAATATAATTATGGTTGAATGGTACCATAAATAGTTCGCATTGTCCCGCATGTTAACATCACTTAACATTTACTAGATTTTGACATGTGCAATCGCGCGGGTTTTATTTTTATTTTTATAAAAATAGATTAACTTATCAATTTAACACAATTTCAATATAATAATTTTCAATATGATATTTTATTATTTTATAAAATATAGATAAAAATGATTGAATTTTTATTTATTTTTAAATTTTATAAAAGATAATTAAATATGTGTATTAATGTATAATTATACTCTTTATTTATTCGAAATTAGTGAAATATTTACGTAATTTTTTAAAAGTTAAAATTTTGTTAAATCTTTTTCAATTGATATTTTGTAATTTTTAATATATATATATTTAAAATAAAATAATACCAAAAGATATTATTATTAAAGTAGTTAAAAATTTTTATTATTAGACTTACTGAAATACATATAGCAAAATTTTTTAGTGATAGTTCATTTTTAAAAACAAATCACACATGAATTAAGGTCATGATTTCTGTTTTAATATATTAAATATCCTAAGTTTAGGTTAAACTATAGACTTTTATTTTATCCCTCATGTCTCTATCGTTCAAACTATTTTCACCCAGATTTTTACTATTACAATAATGTCAAAAGAAATCTAAATAATTGTTTAATTTTTTGTGATATCTTTATCACGGGTGCAACTTTCTGTTCTGGATTATTCAACCTATTTAATTTCAATCACATATTAGTTTCTTATGTATATAGACAGTGCCTATGGTTATGTATAAGTGTGCATATAAAACTAGTCGCAGTTATACCAAAATATTTACTCAAACAAGGTTAGTCATCATTTATTTCTTTATTACATAATTCTAGGTACAGAACAGTGAAAAGAAACCATCTCCGATAGTTATTCCCCCCCCCCCACTTTTCCTTCCCCAAAATGAAATAATTCATAATGAATTTAAGTTTGAGTTATTGCGGTGAATAACCACAATCGTAACATATATTAGGTGAATAACCATCAGCTTTCCGGAATTAGGTATATAGTTATGACCAACTGAGTGAAATTTCTATTCTCTCCCTAGCACTAAAAATCGTTCAAATCTCATGTAGACATACGTATCTGTTGCTACAGAAGCACTATGTCAGATATTTTCGGGATTATTGGGTAGAATAAGTCGAAGTACTTTTCAGGAAGCTAACAAAATATGTGTTTGATGATTTACCGGATTCTCTAAAAAGATGATTCTCCGAGCTGGTTATCTAAGCCTTTTATCTTGGAATTTCACTCAGTGATTGTAATTATTTGTTTTCATTTACCCGGAAGACATATTCAACAGACTGAAAGTGTTCTTTTATTGAAACATCTACTCAGGGATCGATCATGCCCTTACATCATTTTGAAACAAGTTTGTAGTTGAAACCAGAGATTGAAAGTAGAATATTACGCTTATTTTCTACAATTATAAATTATTGCAGTTGTGGCAACTACAATTAAGATCCATGTGGAGACCATCATTCTCCGAATTGTATGTATAGATGCTTCAAAACGATTGTACATGTCCTCATTTTCATCTTCTACCTCCACACGATCACGAGGCCTCATCCTTCCCCTGACTGTCTCCAACATTGCTGTAGTTTTGTTTAATGAAGCTCGCAGAGCTTCTGTCTCTCGCTTCTGTACACGGATTTGATCTCTTGCCTCCAACAAACTTACCTTCTGCCACATCGTTTGCGGTTCCTTATCGGCCCAACAGACAAAGCCATGTTCCCCACATCGATGGAAACGACTACCCGGGTTATCGTCAGTCCACGAAACTGCAAGTGATGTTTGTTTCGCGCACCAACACAGAGGATTAGCTCCACCGCTCCCGGTAATTTCTGGAGTTGTTGCTGAGGAACTCGCCGACCTTGACATTTTTACTTTTTCTCCGAGCAACCGGAAGTTTCGATTAAAGTTAGTCTCCGTATGTTTAAAAGCTGTAAGTATGATTTACTCGCCTGAGTGAAGAACTAGAAAGGTGTCAGTCATCTACTGGGAGCAGTGGAGAAATCTTATCTACTCGAACCAGACCCGGTACAAACTCGGTTTGTTATCGAGTTAACAAAATTTAAATTACGCAACCCGAAACTCTGAAACCCTAATTGTCTGGAAAAGAAGAGAAGTGAATTGAAAATTAATTAAGCAAAGATATTTTCTCAACTCTGTCAGTTTACGTCTTCTCAGTTTCCTAATCATGACCCTACGATGTCATAGACCTAGGCTTCGCGTCTTTTCATTTGTGAGCTGGATTCACCATCTTCTGCATATATCTGTATCTATCTCTGGTTTCTTCCTCGTTTCACGCTATAAATCTGCAGTCACTGGATTCATTTCTTCAAACCAAACCATCATTTTCCAATTACTAAAATTTAATACCGTCACTGCAAAGCATCTTTCCGAAAAGGTGACAATTGTTTTTTCTTCTTCTTCACCAAACCGGTCGGACTATTTTTGGGCTGTGGGGTCTTTACCTTTTCTGTTAATTTTTTTGATTGTTTACATCTGTTGCAGAACACGTCATTTTAGGGGTTCCTGTTAGTTAATTAGGTCTTCCGAATCCCCACCTTTTTTAGTTACAAAACTTAACCGGTTAAACTATAATAGTTAGGCTTGAATTGTTTCCAGATGGATCCTTTACCTTGCTTTCCTAATTTATGGTTTTACCTTTTAGGGTTTTGTATGGGTTATATATGATATGGAATCGTTCGTTTAGTGTTTACATATTGTACTCAAATAGATCTACATTTTCAGTAACGTTATTTGCTGTTTACCCAGTTTTTTTTCCTTTATATAGATGGGAAGGATCTTACATCTTGAGCAAGGCGTTTGGGTGAAAGATCATATGGGAGCTTGGAGCTTTATGAACACTGTTGACTATTATGGTGAAGCTATACTAGCTCGGGAGAATGAGACTTTTGAAGATTTTCAGAATATTGTTAGGATGCGTTTGGAGTTGGCTCCTGACACCCCTCTTGCTCTGACTTATCAGTGGCCTGAGTGGATGCTTGTGCCTAACCGTCCACGACCTCAACTGGTCAACATCTCGGAGACAAGAGATGTAGAAGTAATGATGAGTCTCATTGATTCTCGCGATCTTCTTGTCCTATTTGTGACATCTGGTGCTGAAGACGTTGCGAGATACCAGTTCTACGGCTGGACTTCTTTCTTGTTTGGTAACACAAGATTTGTTGGTCCTGGAGTTTTGGAATCTGCTCATCGTCAGTTCATAAGAGGTACTTGAACAAGTTTTATGTTGTCAACTTTAATATATTTTTTTTCTGATCTGTCCTAACTTTTTGTTAAAAATATGATTAGACATGTTAGGTAATCGTCCATTTTCCTGTGCAACTGGGATGCTTGAGATGGTGTGTACTCAACCACAGCTCCTGGCTCTGTACCGTATGTCCCTTTAGATTCAGCTCGCTCTATCTACACCACCGGGAAATGATGGCATGAACATAGCCCCAGTTTATAGCCCCATTCCGCTTCAAATTGTTCCTCCTAACAAGGACTATGAAGTCCCCATTGGAATCCCAGTTGCGACTCAGTTAAACCATCACGGTAACAAAATATCTTAACATAAGTAATTACCAAAAACTTACACATAACATGCCTCATAATGATTGGTACATGGCTTCTCACTCATTTCAATTTAACAGGTGGGACTGCAAATGTGTGTGGCACCGTAAATGCGACTCATGCCATGGCATTTACGCCCATTTCACCAGACCACTCTCTGACATCTTTCGTGGTGCTAGCTTGGACATTGAACGCAGCTGATCTATCAATATGCCACACTCTCCACCTACTGACATTGCTGATGATGCTAACAACTGGGAAGGTAACCATGTGGTTGCCACTCCGACTGATTCCCAACCTCCACTTCATCAGCCACCATCTTCCATCATACACCTATCTTCTGATATAACTCCGGTGCCATCTCCACTACATACCAAAGGAGGTTTTAGGGAAGACGCAGGTGTTGGAGGCTCATCCTCTCATTCTTTTGACGAGATTTTTGTTGTCGGTACCATCAATGGTAATAGTAATGGTTATATAAACCTACTTAGTTAATCTTATTTTATATATTGTCTTTTATCTGTATCTTAATCATCCATCAAACGCAGTTGTGCCTACCATGAAAGAAAATGCTGTGGAAACTCCTCAGACAGGGAAAAAAATGCTTCTCTACTTCTACAACTTATGGAATGAATGCTGCATGACCGTCTCTTGATCTTAGCCTTGGGTTTGGTTGGACCAACACAAGGGCTGGTGGTAACTCGGTTGTAGTCATTGATGACTCCTCATCTGAAGTAGCATGACATAATGATGGGTGTGGAAAGAAGTCTTAGAATGTTTGGATGGTTGGTTTTGTTTTTGTGAAAAACTATTCTCGTTTGACTTTTGGTCGTCCGGTTTGGGGATTATCCTATGTATTAGATTAAACCGGATATGTTATCTTTTAAAAAACGGTATTATGTATTTTAACCGGATCTGATATGTTAAATTAAACAATCTACTGTTTTTAAATGTTAAATTAGCCAAATATGCTTGTAAATTTTCAAAATAGTTGCAGCTTTTAAATTAACTTTTTCGCATGTTTAATACATTACCTTTTATTTTGTTGGGGGATGTATGACACCTAAAAAACAACAACAATGATGTCTTTGTTGGCATGACCTTCCAATCAAGGGAATCATTTAAACACTATATTGCAATGTATTTCATAAGGAACAAGTTTAGATTTCGTATTTCCCGTTCAGCGCCAGATTGGATGGTACTAAGGTGTTACAGCAGCACTTGAAAGTGCCGCATTTATGCAGTTCGCCTTAAGAATTGTGACATTTTTGAGATTCGTCGGTTTGAAAATCATCACTTTTGCTCAGTTGATGATAGAGCAGGTATGCACCGAACTTTTTATTTTAGTCGACAAATGTCTACTTATATGTATGCATTTTATAATATCGTTACCTGATAACTGAAACGGTATCCTTAACTTATATTAACGAGTTTTTACAATATAAATGGCTGTTTGCTTGCATGTATGCTTAACATTATCTACATTTTCTGTACCTTAACCACTGAGATATTATTATGAATCTCTGTTATGTAAGCTAATACCAAATTACGTAACCTGAAATTATGTAACCTGGAATTATAACAAACGTATAATCACCCTAATAATCCAGTTTTTAACAATTAGGTTTCTTATAACACTGCCATCAATGCTACTTGAAAAGAATTAACCGGTAACATTTAATTATGACTAGTTATACAGACATATTTTAATCCAGATTTTATTTGTTTCAGGTTATCAAAATCAGGCGACTCATACTGTGATTGGGGAGATGATGAAGGCTCGCTTTGCTGGTCGTGGTACTGGCCCCACCCCGGCTGAGATTATGCATGTCATGCAGGGTGACCACAATGTTAGAATATCATATTGGAAGGCATGGCGATCCAGGGAGGTTTCTTTGGATTATGCTAAAGGAAGTTCTGGTACTTCATACAACCTCTTACTTAGCTATTTGGACAGACTCCTTCATGCAAACTCCGGATCAATCACCGAAATGCAAACAGATTTCATTGAAGGAGTTGGTCATAGATTCAAGTTTCTATTTGTTGCATTGGGGCTTCTGTTGCAGGTTTTGCTTTCATGAAGAAGGTTGTTGTCGTGGATGGGGCTCACCTAAGGGGTAAGTATGTTGGTTGCATGCTTTCAACATCTGCACAAGATGGGAACTATCAGGTTTTCCTTCTTGCTATAGCTATCGTTGATGGAGAGAATGACAATGCCTGGGAATGGTTCCTACGCAATTTGCTAAGAATTGTTCCAAATGCCGATGATATTGTATTTGTTTCTGATCGTCATGCCTCCATATATGCTGGTGTTGCCAAGGTATCCAACTACCATTATATTTTAGAAACTGTTACAAACAGGTTATACCTGCATAGCTGGATTTATTTTTGATAACCAATATTATGCATCCAATTATCTTATTATTACGGATGCAATTTTACATTTATTCTCTACAATTGGCCTTTTCTATTCACATATTTTACCCTATTACTTGTAGGTGTATCCCGCTGCTAGCCATTGTTTCTGTATTTTACACCTTAAGAGGAACATCAAAACATACTTCAAGGACAAACATCTTGGGTTTATGGTTAGTAAAGCAGCACGTGCATTTAGGCTATCGGACTTCTATAAAGCTTTCAATGAGATAAAGTTGATGAATCCATCTTGTGCTGATTACCTTATTGGTATTGGTTTTGAGCATTGGGCTCGTTCACATTTTGCTGGGAAAAGGTACAACATTATGACGAGTAATGTTGCAGAATCTTTTAACTCTGCACTCTGAGAGGCAAGAGCCTATACTATACTCCCTCTGCTTGAATTATCAGATCTAATCTGATGAGCTGGTTCGCTGCGCGTCGTCAAATTGCGTGCAACACCCACAATAATCTTACTCCACGTGTTATGGAAGTTCTTGCTGCAAATTTCGATCTGGGTGGTGGATTTGGTGTTAATATGATTAACGAATACGAATACGAGGTGATTGACAAGGCTGGTGTATCATTTCATGTCAACCTGACTGCGAGGTCATGCAGCTGTTTTGAATTCAGTGCTTGATGATACCTTGTCCACATGCAGTTGCTGCCTCTGTTGTCTCCAAGATAAGTGTTCAATCCCTTGTTTTTGTTGAATATTCAACTTCCATGTTAGCTTCTACATATGAGAAAGACATAGTCCCTGCGACAGAGGCAATCAATGTTGAATCACTTTCTGTTGATTTATTGGCTACACATCTGATGTCGTCCCTCCTGCCAGTAGGCGACCACCTGGACGTCCTAAGAAATCTCGTTTCTTATCTAGAGGCGAATTTAGGGTACAATAACCTTTACCATTATATTTACACTGCCTAGTAATTGCCTTATGTTACTTATGTTTTATAAATTTTTAACCCTGTAGATGAAACATGTGCGTAAGCTTCACATATGTAGCCGTTGCAAGCAAAGTGGTCACAACAGGGCTACTTATAAGACTGCAATATGAGGTTATCTAGTTATGTATGGGAAGTGAGAGACTCGGATGATGAAGGTGCATGAGAAGAAAGGAGGTGCTGCTACTGGACAGCATAATTAATAAATGGTTTTATCATCTTATATCCAGATATGGTTGAGGCAGGATTGTACTTTTTTCCCGAGTTTATTTGTTAAATAATATTCCCATCTCTCTATAACATATGGAAAAATCTTGTTTCCTATAATCAGTTGGTAAAAACCTGTTATTTGATGTCAAATATGTTTATAAGCAAATATATCCGGTTATAAGCACAATGCTTACATTACTTATCAAAAATAAAACCTTTCTGTTCAATGATTAGTCTTGTTACATTGTCCTCTCCATTTTCTGGAGTGTACGGTTTTCTAACACCCCACACACTTCGATGGGTTAATTTATAACTTGTACGGTTTTCTATTAAATCCGGTTAATATTTTACTAAATTATCAGTTCCCTTTACTATTTTTCGGTTTTCTATCATAACCGGTTAATCTATCACTATATTATCGGTTTACTTTATTAATATCCGGTTACATACCAATCTTGTGTCATCTTTTCAACTATATCGTCAATGAGATTACAATAGGGATCCGACATAAGTACTCATTTAGTCTCACAACATCTGGTACAATGTGAAAATAACATGAATCCTTCGTGAAATAGTTAATCAATGTCTAAACATGTTAGAGTACATTTTCTAACTCATAAGATGTCACTGCTGCTGCCTTTGCTTCATCCACCAAACAGTCTGCACGTACTCCCCTACATGCTTCAATTCCATATGCCTCATGCAGCCCAATTTGCACAGCTGCCATCACCCCTGTGTCATAAATTGGGATGTTTTGGCATAACCCTTTTGCCCGTTCAATCATCATCTTCTTCGACTCACCACCTCCTGCGATGTGTAAGCTCTGCTTCAGTATATAAGGAAACATTTCGAAAAGTGCCTGAAGCTCCCTCATCACGTATGAATCGCTGCAGTGGGATACGTTGCAGTCGAACACTATAATCTTCCACAGGGCACAGTCCACAACCACTCCAACGCAATTCTTCTTGCCTAGCATCACTGGGATGTAGTACCGCATATGATCTTCTTCACCACCCGTCTCACATCCTATTGATTCAACCAGTGCTTTAGGGAAAATGAATTCTGTTTTGTTGTGTGGTAGCGTGAATTTCTGATGGTTTCTAGATATGGAAGTCATGAATTTTGTATCTAGCACTCTCCCTCGCTCACACCCGGTGTCTTGTGCTGGACCGTCCGCAATAGTTTCATTAGTATGTCGACAACCTGAACGTGACCAAACATAGGGGTTTAGTATAATTACAACTAAGTTTCAGTTCTGT